TCTTGGCAGGTGATTTTTACTACTCCTAGAAGGTCAAGATGATCAAGCGTTAACTCCCCCATTTGCCTGTAATCTCTTATTCTCAAAAGTGGCCTCCTTTCTGTCCCAGAGGGAAAATTGCCCTTTTCCTTCCCGTCTCCCACCGAGTGCCACAGCCATAATTCTGACGTTAAATAAGGCTTCTTGGTCCTTGAGATATAAATAAGATTGGCTGGAAATCCAAATTTACGCTCTACTTGAGGACAAAAAGTTCCTAGAAATTTTCAAGGTCACCTCAGTACCTGACCTCTTTTTGTATGTGTTGTTCCTTTTATGTACTACACTGACCAAGAGGTGACATCCAGACCCTTCCTTAAAAAAAAAAAAAAAAAAAAAAGGAAAGAAAAAAAAAGAAAGAAAGGAGCTAAGAAAAAAATGCGAGTGTTGCAGGCTTTCATGAAAAGGCCAAGTGACATCATCCCAACCAAGGAGAATGAGGCCGTATTCTTCCGGGAGTGTCTGGGAAGGCCTTCGCTTCCCTGCTGAAAAGAGAGAGGTGAGGCAGATGCCAGCCCTGTCTCCCGTCGTCCACGGCTTGGATGTGGACCTACGTCGTGAGCAACAGTCCAGGACCATCGGCCACAGGTAAGTTCTGAACACCTGCCGCTTTCTACTTCTTGTTCCGGGCAAACTTGGGAACCCCATTTGCTTTAAAGCACCACTAAGTGCTCTTCCACTTGATACAGAAAGCACTTCAAGCTGATACAAAATTTCAGAATCACAGTCATCGTCACCCTAAACAATAGAAAACAATATTTTTGTTTTTGTTCACTTACAAATGAATGTTATAGCCCCATTACAAATGGTGCTGTATGAGCAGTTCGGGGGTTTTCTGCAGTGCTCAACATAGTCAGCTGTTGGCTTGCTGATTACCTGGGTGTTCACCTTATGCAAAACTCTTTGAGGTTTATATTTATGTTTTATGTCCTTTTCTATATTTAAAATAATATAAAGAATATCACTGATATACAAAGAGGTTAACGATATCTTAAATAAAAAGCAGCTGACACAACAATGTGTATAATGTCAAGATTTTCTACCAAATATATACCAAAATGTTAAGAGGTAGGTGATTTTCAGTAAGAACTCGAGTACTTAGAACCTGTTGAAGAACACAGAAATGTTTCTAAAATAGGGGAAAAAAAATGAATACTAAGGCACATGTAAAATAATCTTCTCTTTTAAATCTCGATAAGGACCTTTTGGAGATAAGAGACTAATGGGAAAGTTATACAAAGGATACATTTGTTCATTAGGATATTTTTCCTTTTAAATCATGATCAACAATTCTTATTTTAAAGGGTGCGAGTATTTGCTGTAAGTCATTGTGACTTTGGAGTCTTGTTTTTGTTGTGCAAATCTTTCATTACAGTCACCGGTGACGCTCGTCACAGTGGTTTTTAAAGCGGCGGGAAGACGTCCCGACATTCGCTCGGTGGCCCTGCGCCTTTAGGGTCGGAGCGGAGCGCGCTCACGAGGACCTCAGGACGCTCCAAACCACAGTCATGGAAAGCGGGCGCCCGCCGTGTGAAATGATCTGCCCTTTTCTTATTAGGATAACTTCGGGGTAACAGTGGCCCACTATTAAAGTGACAAATTGAGAATATCTTGTGCATAACTTATTTTGAAAATACATCATTTAACAGACCAATATTCTATTACACAATCCTGGTCCTGTAAGCTCTCCCCGGCCTCAGAAAAAAGTTTGTGATTGGAATTTGCTATTGATTTCTCAAATGGTTTCAGGGACATGAATCAGGGAAAAATATTCCAGAAAGGACTGATGCTTTCTTTTCTCATTTAGAGAATAATAAGATATTACTTATTTCAGTATAAGGATTCTAATTACAACCAGAATGTACGATCGGGTAGTAATATCAAGTGTTCCTAAATTAATGAAAAATGGATTCAAATTAGAAATACGGTACCACAATGCTCTAACATTAGTAACAATCATTACTTGGAGTTGGCAAAACTGACAAGAGCAAATGCCAATCAAATAAATAGCTTGTATTTAGATAACCCAGGTAGCAGCGCAGCGGGGAGTTTTTGAAGAAAAAAAAATTATTTCAATGCCAAGTCACGCTTACAGCTTTGAACAAGTGGCAAAACATGGGCATGTTTCTCAAATGGATTTCACAGCATCTGCGCAAAACCCGGAGGGGATAGCTTCGTTTTTTAAGCTTCAGATTTGAAATACCTAGATACCCTGCAACTACAGAATTAAATCCTCTGTGGAACCACAGCTTCAAATGCTATCAGGAGAAACTCAGCGCTTCATCCTTCTGAGACTGATAACCCGAAAGCTATGAAGTTGAGAGAAAATGAAGGGGAGCCTGCAGCTGCCTGCGCCCCTGCCTCACCCCCCACAGAAAGGCTCTAATTGTAACATCATTTAAGCTCCCATTTGAGGCTGTCTCCCTGGCACGATTTGAGGGTGCTGTTTCTAAGACATTCAGCAATTTCGCAACCCTGCCGTGGGCATCTTACAAACATTTAAACCGAATTTCAGGCAGCTCAAAGTAGGCAGGAAGCATTATTTTTAACTCCCGTTTAAGACAGTCAAGGAAATTCTAACTCCTTACTTTAAAATGCATTATAGGTATCTGGCCAATTCTTTATTATTCCTGTGGAAATTTGCTGCTTTGTATGTTTCTGGGCTGCATCCCTCCTGACACCAATTGATGGATGCTTGGTAAATTCCAGTTAAACAATAGAATTTTATTCAGTTTGCGTAGTACTTTACCATTCTCTCATATCTCCTAACGCATTCACAGAACTTTATAAGGTAAGGAAGAACACGTTTTCTCCATTTTCCGGGTGAGGAAAGTGTGGCTCAGGAAGATGTTCTTGCTCTACGTTATAAAATCCAGGCCTTGGGAATCCTCCTGAAGTACTGCTAGTTATACGTAGGTTCTATTTAGGAACATCAACATTTTACTAACGAAGAGTGTGTAATGCATTGTAATGTTAACTAAAAATAATTTAAAACTAATTCTTTTGATTTTCACTAAGGCTACGTATCTCTGATGTTATGTGTAATTAATGATTTAAAATACTGAAAACATAGAGAAAGTGCAGGGAAAACTGTGGATCTTTTCTCTTTTTAAGGTCTATTACCTAACTGATTAACAGATGCCTTTTCATTTAAATTTTTCTCAAAATTACACATTTGGATCCAATTATATATAGGCCCAAATGAAAACCTGAAAATAACATGAGGTAACGTCCGGGCTAACACTCAAACTGTTCTCCGAGTTTCATTCAAGGAAAAACTAATCCATAAGGAGCTCGAATATCCCAACTAATTTAACATCTTTGAGACAGCTACAGAGGAGACTTCAGGTTTAGGCAGACTGGACAGTGGACCCACTGGGTACTATAGTAAGTTCCAAAAACCACCAAGTAAGTTTGATGGCATACTAATTATTTTAAATGCAAATACCCTTGAGAAAGCTGACCCATTGAGACCTTTTTTTAAACATTCCTACTCTTTAGTTCTTTTCCTACAACCAGTAGATGAGTTGAACTTCTCTGATGGGAATTTTTATTTCAAGCAAAGACAGAGGAATTTTGGAGAAAAGAGTGGACTTATTAGTGTAAAAGTTAACAGAAATCTTATTTAAAATGAAGAGGTCAGAGCTGAAGTTTTCAACCCAACTATCAAAAAGCCTACCTCCATCATGCATGTAAAGCCTTTATTTATGACTTCTATCTTTGAAAACGAATAAAAGAAACCTCATCCAAAATAAAGGCAGAAGGCACACAGGGCTGTCCAACGTTTTGGCGCCTCTAGCCCACACTGCAAGAAGAAAAGTTGTCTTGGGCCACACCTTAAATACACAAACACTAAAGAAAACTGATGAGCCAAAAAAAAAAGGTTTTAAGTAAATCCACAATTTTCTGTTGGGCCGCATTCATATCCATCCTTGGCCCCATGCGGCCCGCAGGCTGCAGGCTGGACACCCTGCGAGGGAAACCACTCAGGAAGGTCCCCCCAGCTGCACCTTGAACCCTGTAGGTGCGGCAAAGGAAGCTTTCCCCCTCCACCCTGCACCAGCGAGCAAGTTTCTGGGGCCAGGAGCAGCTGCCACCACGTGGAACTCTCCTGTTCCTTGCTCCAACTTTTGTTCAAACCACCTCTCTCAACTTCCTCCTTCCCTCTAGGGAGAATGTTGGGGTTTGGTTCCCCCCTCCCCATGGGCTTTGGAGTGGTTCACCAGTTTACTCCTCAACGCAATCCCTCTGCTATTCCGAATAAACTCGATTTGGCTGGCTGAGTCTCTTCCCTTTTTCTTTAAAAAGGTTGACATAGTCAAACGTTTATTTAGCACTTAGTGATGCCAGGCTCAAAGGGTAGCACAGGCCACAGGGAAACGAGGTAGCTTCTTACCCTGGAGGGTCAGGGAGGAGCCCTTCAGGGAGCTGTGCCGGGGGTTAACCTCCGCTTCCCCAGGCTTTCTTCTTTTCTTTGGGGCAGGGGTTTGTAAGGAGAGGACATCCTACAAAAAGCTCTGGTGGGAGAACCACGGAGGTTTGAGATGGGAAGATCTAAAACGAATGTATTAAATCAGCAGATTCACATGCACTCAATGACCACCCCAGACCTGAAGCCAGACTTGGGAGTCCCCAAGTACGCCCTTTGAACGTTCCAAACGTTTCACCTGCAACTCTCGATTAAGAGGGTACATTAAGACCAAATTTTAGACCTTCCTACTGCCTGCAACCCAGGGCTGCATAACGTCCTACGAATTTTCCCACCAGAAGTTCAATTTGCTTCTAACAACAAAGAAAACAGAAATCTGCACGACGCTCCGGGCTGAAACCTTCCGAGGCCAGTCCCACAAGAAGCCGGGTCTCGCGAGAGGCGCGCCAGCCCGGACCGCGCCCGGAAAAAGCGGTTTCGGGGCCAGGTGGGCGGGGCGCCGGGGGTCACGTGGTCCGCGAGCGCAGCCAGACGCGACCCCTCTGGCGCTGGGCTGGTCCTGCAGCCATGGTGCGGAAGTTGAGCTTTGTGCTCTTCCTGCAGCTTGTGGTGGGCCCGGCTCTGGTGCGCAGCTCCAGCCCTCTCCCCCTGGTTCTCAACACTTGGCCGTTTAAGAATGCAACCGAAGCAGGTGCGGGGCGGTGGCCGCGGGCGGGGACTGTGCTGCGAGAGCTCGCCTGCGGGCAGTTGCGTGGAGCGCGGGCCGGCGCCCGGCCCTCCTGGCTGCGCACGCTCGCCGTGCAGCCCTGCGCGCACCGCTCCGTCGCAGCGTCTCTTGCAATTGACCCTTACCCCGTGCTCTGCGCTTCTGCTGAGTTTTGCGTCCTCATCATTTAGGGTTACTCCTTCTCTACAACCCCTGCGCCAAGAGATCCTCCGCCCTGCTGCTTAACCTCTCCCGGGGGCGTCTGTGCCTGACATCAGTCTGTTCATGGCCTGTCTCCTTTCTACCCCTCCGTTCTCCCCAATAATACCCCGTACTGCAGCTTTGCACACGACTAGTCATTTCCCCGGAAAGCATATTCTTTTTGCACTTACTGACCTTCCCACACTCACAAGCTGATGTGCTGTTTGCTACCTGGAATGCTGGGTTCCCATCTCGGCTGTACATTAGCGTCACCTGCGGAGCTTGTCGAAAGTATCAGTGCCCGGGCCCCACCTCCAGAGATTTTGCATTACCTGCTAGAACTAAGGCATCTGGTGGTTTTGTTGTTGTTGTCTTTTAAGCTCCCTAAGTGATTTTGATTTGCAGCCTAAGATTGAGAAACAGTAGGCTTTAGTGCCTTCCCTGATGTTCTGCCCTTATATCCAATTGAAGTTATCTGTGCTTTGCTATCATCCTGTACATACCAATATCTTGTCAGTTTCTTACTGTGTGTTGGTTTCATTCATTTCAAGACATAATACCCCAAGAGAAATTTCAGACCTCTCCTGAGCCTGCTAATATAACTTTCTGGGGGCAGAATTGGCTCCCGAATTTGGTGTAGCTCAGTTGGTATGTTATATGCAGTGAATACATTCAGAGAAAATGAGGAAGCAGACCATAAGAAACAAATTCCCAGCGATAATGAGACAGAAAGTGCAGCAACACGGACAAGGGCCAAGTCTGTGTATGGTGCTATATCTTCTCGAAATACACTTTCCCCTGCCCTGGCGAGGTAGCTCAGGTTAGGTTAGAGCGTCCTGATACACTAAGCTTGCTGGTTGTGGGTTTGATCTCCGGTGAGGGGACCCGCAAGAATCAACCAATGAATGCATGAGGAGGTGGAAAAACAAAGTGATGTTTCTCTAAAATTAAAATAATTTGTTCTCTTTAAAAAGTATTCTTTCAAGCCCCTATGACCAGTAGTAATACTTAAACTATTTACTAAAATAGCATCTACCCATTAAGGAATCTTCTGTTTATTAGTAAAGGAATTGACCTTCAAAGACGTTTTGTTTTTTCCTTTTCAAAGTGTGGGGCTCCACAGAACATAATGCAATGCTAAAAGCTGGCCTTCCCAGCCAAATGGCTACTTTTGAATCCTGGCTCTGCTACCGGCTATCTGTGCGACCTTGAATAACTTAAAAATTCTCTGAGTGTTTCCTCCTCTTTAAAATGAGGATAATAACTGTACAGTCCTTACCTGGAAAGCTGCTGTGAAGATCAAATGCATTAATCCATATGAAACCCACACTGTAATTACTTGCTGTTGTGGTATTGTTATTGAAACTTGCGGTAACAGATGCTACGCCAATAAAAGTATTAGTGATGTATGTAAGTTTTTAATGATCCAATGATGCAGACACGTATAAGGCTGTGATTAAATGAATGTTCAGTGTAACTGTCTTTCAGCAGCTTCAATTGCAACTTGAAGGACAAGATACTTTTCTCACAGACAGTAGAAATACATTTAATAAGTGAAAAAACAAACCCACTTTTCATCAGTAGCCAAAGTCTTCGAATTTTTCACAGTAGTTAGCTGTATTAAATAATTTTGTCTGTACCACGGTTTGTAACACTGATTTGTTTGTCGCATCTGAAACACTAATTTAAAAATTCCGTTTAACTTAGAGCAAATGTGAAAACTGTAAATATATGAGTTCTCAAAACACTCCTGGTTGGTAGCATTCGGCACTGTAAAAAATCTCATCTATAAGCAAGCCCTGTTGGGGTTTCACAACAGCGTGGCGGACGTTGGCATCCGGAGCGTCGGCGCTGGACGCGGTGGAGGCCGGCTGCGCCCAGTGCCAGAGGGAGCAGTGCGACGGCAGCGTCGGCTTCGGCGGGAGCCCCGACGAGGCTGGGGAAACCACGCTGGACGCCATGATCATGGACGGGTGAGCGAGGCCCCAGGACCCGGGGCCTGCCCCTCCGCTTTGTGGGCGGCTGCATTGTCGTTGTCTGTCTGCTGCTGAGGGCGTGATAGATGAGTGCAGACGCCTTGTTACAAGTCAAACCCCTAGCTCATTGCACGGCCTTCTCAAACACAACTAGTTTTCCTCTCAATTAAAAGAAAGTCATCATACTAACAAATAAAGCGCTTGAAGGAAGGCAGAGGCTTTCGCACAGACTACAAAGAGTATGTCTCCGACCTGGCGCACCGTCGTGGACCTGCCGTCCACAAACGCTGTGGTTTGCCCGAAGGGAAGCTTTCAAACCCCTTTCCAAAGCCGTGTGCGAACAAGCCCGGGAACACGGAGGATGCGCGTGCTGTTGGAGGGTGTGGTGAATTGGTGCTGTATTTGTTCCTTCATTGGTGTAACTGGCAGTTTGTACGGACTTCATGGATGTGCTGTGATGTCTGCATAAGGGTGGTGCTTGCCCTGCAGAGCGCAGTGGCTCGAAGTAGAACAGTATTTTTAAATCTATGACTATGAACATGCCTTAAACCTCACTGCGTTTTTTTCTTGCAGCACTACTATGAACGTCGGAGCAGTAGGAGATCTCAGACGCATTAAAAACGCTATTGGTGTGGCCCGGAAAGTCCTGGAACATACAACACACACACTTCTAGTAGGAGAGTCAGGTATATTTTAACTCTGCTGAAGCACCTAGTCTTGTGTTCACTGTGGAAAAAGGACGCAGTATAAAATAGTGGAGGAAAGCCCACCAAAGCTCCAATTCCAGCTGTTCTACTTAGTGTCTGTTTCCCTTTGGATAAGTTATTTAACTCTTAAATGCTCGCTTTCTTCATCTTTAAAATAGAGTTTTAAAAAATCAGTGTATTGTCTATAGATGGGGCCCTGCCAGGGGATTCCACGTCATTCCTCTCCCTGTGTGACCTTTTCAATAGGTGCAAGGCCCGTGCGCGTATGAACGTGAGAGACGGGGCCAGAGGGAGTCTTGCTATGGCTTCCAAGTATCCAAGTAAACGCCACAAGCCATTCAGTGGCCTACAATCAGAAGTAACGTCTAACGTGTGGTAGCTAACAACTCCAACAGGAGGTCTTCACTTGCGTTGAAATCCAGACCTGAAAACCACCTGCCATTCATAGACTCCAGCTTTGGTGTCACAAGGCTTTTTTACGCTGCGCATGAGACCCTAGTTAGAGCCGAAAGACTCCCCACTGGCGAGAGGCGTGCCTCTTCTTTTGTCATCAAAGAAATACGATGACAAAATATGAGGCAGAAGAAGGGAGACTGTGGACGGGAGGAGGTTAGGGCAGTTGTCATAACACACACCCCAAGGGTCTTGAGCAAATCCCTTCTGGGAAGGCCGTAGGGAAGCTGAGATCTAGAAACCGGTGCCCTGAAACCTGCTCGTGTCTGAAGGCTCCTTCGTGTACTCCAGGGTGGTTGTGTCCCGCATCAGAGACAGCTGAATTTCAGCGCTTTCTGTCCATATATTTGTTTAAAAGACAACAGTTAAGTCATTTGCCTTTTTCTTTCCAACCTCCAGCTACCAAGTTTGCCGAAAGTATGGGGTTTGTCAATGAGGATTTGTCTACCAATACGTCTCGAGCGCTTCATTCCGATTGGCTTGCTCGGAACTGCCAGCCAAATTGTTGGAGGGTACGTCTCCATAAGTTTAAAAAGCAAATTATTTGGAAAGATTAAGTGACCTCCCTTCTGCCTTCTGTTGTCTACCTAGAGCCAAAGGTGCTGGGTAGCACCCGGTTACACTTGAGAGCCAGGGGTGACTCTGGGGATGGGTGTCCCTGCAAGGCCCCTTGCTGCATGTAAGACATGCCCCCCCGCCCCCGCCCCGGGGGACAGCTGCTGGTCCCTGGAGCGTTTTCAGACTTGGAAGGTTCTGCTGTGGGGAGAGGGTGCAGCCTCCATCAGAGCAGCTTGCTTGTATTTCCTTAGAACAAAAGCTTCCGAGTCTGAAACATCAAAGCTTGGAAACCACTGGTCCAAAGTAGTTCTTAGATTTTTACCTACGTGGAGCGTGCCCAGGGCCTTGTCCTCGTCTGACGGGAGGCTGCATACTGTTAGGTATCTAGCATGTTACTCGTGGGGATACTCTTGTCTTTGAATCAGTGGGACTTTGAGTGCAAGCCACTTTGTCTTTGCATTTTCAGAGTTTTACTGTGGACTGTCGTAGTCTCTCACTGTTTCTTCCCCAAATCCTAATTACATTTGAGTAGCCGAGGACTCTCTGGGGTCAGTACTTGCAAGAGGCTGCTGCGTAAAACCAGACCAGGGAGGCACCTAGTGCGCCAGCGATAAGACGGGGGCGGTAGGTTTCTTGTTTAAGGCGTATACATATGTTCAACCTAAGTTTATGGATCTGGATTCTTTTCTTGAGTCTTTGATTCATAAAAGAATCTGGGAGTAGAATTTAGATTATGTGCACATGAACCTAGCTTTTAAAAAAAGATGATTTTAAAATAGATTTTGCCTTAAACTTCATAATTCTTCTTTGCCCGGGGAACAAATTATGAAATTGGAAGGTTGCATACGTAATTCCATTGAGGATTAATATCTAATGAAAAATCTTCATTTATATATGCCTTTATGCTGAGAATTTTAGGCATATAAAGAGAAAAACCAGGGATCTTTTCCAGACTGTGTAGCTTTCTATTATTCCATGTTATGTATGTCTGAGACTAGACCGGGTATATAGTAGAATTATATCCATCTCTTCACATGAGACTTAGTTAATTGTTGGCTTTTGATTCTTATCATTCACTTACCAGATGTCTTTTTGGTTTCTTGCTCATGTTTCGTGATTGCCTGGAACTCCTTGCCAATTGCTAAAATCACCCTTTCTAAAAAATGAAATTTAAATCTTGTTTACAGAATGTTATACCAGATGCTTCCAAATACTGTGGACCTTACAAACCACCTAGTATCTTAAAGCAAGATGGTTCTACCTATAAGGAAACAGGAGATAGTTATGGTCATGATACTATTGGTAATTTGCCTTTTATTCCGTTTTTGTTGTTAAAGTTAAGCCACTTGTAAATGCCTTTCTGTTGCTCTTAACTTTTTCATCCCTATCCATGTGCCAGAAGGTGATTTTGACTGTTTTAACTGGCAAGTAAAACTTTATAAATATAGATAGCTCTATTCAGCATACACACACACACATACACACACATTCTTTTCTTAGCATCTGCGTAGATTTTAGTAAATTATCTTATACAAGACCCCTAATATATAGTGACTATTCACTTGTAGATTTTTAAATTCTTATGTACATTTATTTCTTTAATACTTTGACATTATTTGCTGTATTCAAGTGATCTTTCTGGGTTATAATGTTGAAACGTTCTGTCAGTCTGTATCAGTGATTTTCTGTGGACAGAATTACCTTTCAAAAGCATTGAAAAGCAACAGAGCAAACTGAAGAATAAGAGTACAGGATGTCTACCCAGTGATGCCAGGAAACCAGGTCATTAAAAAGCACATGTTTTACCTGGTATAATTTTCAGTAGTCCCAAGTTTTCTATTTTCTCCTACCTGAAATTAATGAAAGAGGATATTGATATTACCAACTGTTCAATTATTTGGTTATATTTGATTTAAACTTAAGAGTCAATACCTACAAAGATTTTTTTTTTTTAAATTCCAGGCATGGTTGTAATCCATAAGATGGGACACACTGCTGCGGGTACCTCTACAAATGGTATAAAATTCAAAATACCTGGGTCAGTGTTTCTGAAAGAACACATCTCACAAGTATGCCTTGAGTTTACACCAGTGTGTGCGAGGTGCTATGGGAGGTGCAAAGGCAAAGCACAGCCCTCCCTCCACGGCCAAGAGGAATAAATGGGAAAGAAAATAAATGAGTACCTGCTCAGTGCCGAAGGAGAGGGAGAGCTGGCTGGTGCGTTAGAGTTCAGGGACGGCCGCGGTGACCTGAGTAAGCCGGGGTAGTTAGGGAGGCCGGTGGGGAGATGCTGGGGCTGCGTCTGGGCCTGAGGAGGGCACAGGGGCGTCCCAGCCAAGGCGGGACCAGGTCCGAAGGCGTGCCCCTCTGCTCAGGGCTCCCGCGGGCCACAGAGGAAATTGCGCGCATGTCGCGTGCAGGGAAAGAAGAAGACGTCAGGTTTCAAGGGGGCTGGAGTCATGAAGGGTTTCTGGATTTTGTTTCAAAGTCCTAGAAAAACATGGAGGGTTTATTACAAGGAAAAAGCTTGGTACCATTTTGGCATATTAGATAGGACGCAGAAATAGAGTGTAGGTGAGGAAATCTAATTTGAACCTGTTGAGATAATCCAGAAATTAGATGATAAGGGTGGTAATAATAGAACAGTCACTATCAATCTGTGCCATCTTGATATGTAACCAGCTGGTGTCTAATTCTTATATAATTAATGTAGGTTTATGGACACCTAGGTTGAAACTTATGAAAATCCTTTTCTCTGTGCCCCGATGAAGAAATCCCTTAAGACAGTTATCGGTAGCTAAGTAGGAATACCCGCTGTTGTTGGAACAGCTCATGGAACGATTTAGCGTTTGCACTTGACTTCCCATCCTCAATTACCATGCTGTGTCTTCACCAAGTCGAGTAGGAGACTCGCCAATTCCGGGAGCCGGGGCCTATGCGGACGACGCTGCGGGGGCTGCGGCGGCCACTGGGGACGGGGACATACTGATGCGCTTTCTGCCAAGGTGTGGCTTCTCCCATTGGTGACTCTCTGAGATCTTCAGGGGGGAGGTGTCTGCCAAGACAGAGAGTAACTGTGTGTGCCATGCGATCTGAATCTGTGTGCACAAGGGCTTTTGAGAAACTCCTCTTCAACTCTTCACCTATCAGGCTGATACTATAATCGTTCAAACTAAGTAACCCTAGTCCTCTGAAATAGAACAATATTTCTGAGTCTGCTTCACAGATGAGGGTACTCAGGATCCATTTAAATAATGTATGTAAGGCCACTGAATACAGAGACGGTCATAATGGATGATAGAAGTCAGAAATGCAGCCACGGCGTATAATTCCTGAAAGATAATCATGACAACTAGGTTCTTGCTCAGGCCCAGTGTCTTCCCTACTGATTGCAGCCCTGTTTCTTACTGAAAGATAACCTCCATGCTTTGCGGCCTCTGGCTGTTATTACTCAGTCAAAGCCAAAAATATCAGTCCTTATCTGAAGCGAGTTGGTGGATTAGTTGAAAAGATAGACGCTCTATCAAGGCCTACATGCTGTCTTGTTGACGTGCAGAAATACCGACTCCTGTTCATTTATGTATTCTGTCAAATGTGACAGTTTTGATGCTTTTAGATTTCTTACTTAAAGTAACCAAATTCAGAGTTAGTTTATTTTGTGATTCTCAAGTTTTGCCTCTGTTTACATCAGCTACCAAGCCGTAGAATATATGAGAAGAGGAGAAAATCCAACGTTAGCTTGCCAAAAAGTGATTTCAAGAATTCATAAGTATTTTCCAAAGTTCTTTGGAGCTGTTATATGTGCCAATGTGACTGGAAGTTATGGTAAGTTTTATGTGAATTTGTGTTTGTGTAAATTTGCAAACGTTGATGAAAACATACGCCTTTAAATATCGTGGTGTGTTTTATTCCTGTACAGTGGCAACAGGGACGATATGGGGTAGGCACTGTGTAAATAAACATTAAGGGACTTTCTGTCAAGACCCACAAATTGTTAAAACTGTACCTGAAACGCGCCGTTCGTTGGTTGCCTGTAGCTGGGACGCGGTCTTTGGCTACTCATTGTCGTCTGTGACTTCTGTCCCAAGTCCAGTTCGGCTTCAGCTGCTGTACGTGCTGAGATGCGCTGGTCTAGTCAGAGGCGTCTGTTCATTAGAAGTAAATACGGTTAAATTACTGTCCCTTCTTCCTTCCCATTCATTATTTAAATGTTTCAGTCATTTAGATCTTTTTGGGACTCCAAGGTACAAAATGTGTTACTAATTAGTAAACCAAAGAAATTAAGAGGACTGTTTTTGTACTGAGACGTGTCCTTTGCTTCATTTAATTTCTGTATGAGCCTACCGCAGTTTCAAAGCATTTCAAGATCAACCACTACTGCTTCTCATTAGTGAGTTTTCAGCTGGGGAAGATATACAGCGTACTGATCAATATGACTTATTAGGTTAGACTGCTTATTACTGTTCTTTGATCTTCTACTTCCCACAGTTCTGTATTTGAAAAACTTGTTTGAAGAATTTTTTATTCTTTTTTAGTGCTACGATACAAAAGTCAATATAAGTTATGGGAGGGAAAGGCTTTATGTATGAAATAAATCAGCTTCATTGATATCCTCTTAACAAATAAACCTTAAAAGGCTCAAAGTTGGATGTAACAGGATGTAAAATGATAATTATATAATTATAGCTGAATTTAAAATTGTTAATGATAATTATATCATTGTCAATGAATCTAGTCCCTTGTATTGAAAGTGATGGCATTCGAGGGCACCCTCCAGCTGTTTGCGCACAGGTAGATGGGGCAGCAGGAAACCACTTCCGTAAGATGCACTTGATTTGGTAGAGAGCATCTTGACAAATAACCCTCCTCACTTTCTATGAGAATAAAAGAGTGGGAAAAAAACAGGCAGCCTGGGGAGGGGAGGATTATGGGTGAACGATGGGAATAGGCTGGTGGCTAGGAGGGTAAAATCTTCAACATGTGCCTGAATTTTTTTGGTTTTTTGTTAAGAAAAGAATATAAAAACAGAATAAATAATAGCAGCAATGACAGCATGTGTATAGAGCAAAAAAACCAGCCCCTTCTCTGAGGTTCGAAGGGACGGCTCCCCCACTGCCGCCTTTCTCTTGGTCTGTGAGAGAGGCAGACAGCACCGCGCCCCGCCGTGCGGCGGCGTCGGACATCGGGCGCCCCCCGAGTGATGTCTGTATAGGTTGTAGATATGTCCCTCCTGAAACCAAACGTCGTTCTCTTTTCTTGGCTGCAGGTGCTGCGTGCAATAAACTACCTACATTTACCCAATTTCATTTCATGGTTTATAATTCTCTAAAAAATCAGCCAGTGGAGGAAAAAGTTGACTGCATCTGATCCATTTTCCCTGGCAGCATCTATATTTGAAAAAGAAAGAAGCGAAGGCTGAAAAGGTTACTTGTTGTCACTGCAGAGTGTGTGCCTCATGTATTCTAAATTCTTGTGTAAAATAATCACAAAAATAAATGTATGCTAAAGGAGCACTTTTGCTTTTAATATATGAAATTTTCATTATCTATATTTAAGCTTTGTATATTACCTGAAAGTGAATATGCAAATGTATGTAGCTTTTAGATGTTTAAATTTTAGTTGACATTTGGATTTCTACTCAATGCTTTAAGGAATTAGTACCTTGGGGATTTATTTTCATAATGAAATCTTAAAGCCAAAAGAAATCGTCTATATTTGGATACTTAAAATAATTAGAGTGTCCAGGTTTTTTAGACCCCAAGTAAAAAGTAAGGATGAGGCTAAGTATGATAAGCTGTGATTAAATTTCAGTGCATACAGTGATAGGTCTCTTATCAGCAATGATCAATTTTACATAATGCTCCCTGCTAGCCTGGAGAGGAAAGAATGCTGTTAATAATAAAGGTGCTTTTTGTTAGGCACACATTAGAAAATACAGGCAATCTTCTGACGAGCAGTAGTGTAGATTTTCTTTGGTCTATTCCTCTGATAGGGCTCTCTCTCAGTGTGAAGGTTCTTTAGTCACAAAAATCTGTGATCTTCTGGCTACTAAGATTTAGTATTAATAATTTCCTCTGAAAATGAATTAGGGAATTTGATCTCTAATTTTGTTATTATTCATTGTACCTGACACGTTTGAAGTAAAACATTGTAGACCTGCAGGTAAGTTGAAAATAAAAACAAAGATTGCAGTGCAAACCCTAAAGAAGGCTGATCAAAGCCCAAGGACAAAGCTCTGAGATTGGTCATGCAGTGAACATTAAATTAATTAGGATAAAATTCCCCAGCCATCCTTTACCTTGTTTAGTTAGGTATCCCATCTAAAGCACCTACACATTAACCTTGTTCCTTTAAATGAAGTAGTAACTAATATAATTCAAATTTTAACAGGTTGTACTACTAAATAATGCATACCAAATAATGGATAGGAATCTCGGATGATACTTAAGGTTTCCTCCCCTTGTTCAAACTATTCTTAATAGATCTGATTTCCTCTTAAAGAATGCTGACCTGAAGTTTCTAGAAATATATGTGTATTCTGGATACACATGAACAAAAAAGTGTCTATTCCCAGTACCAGCAAGTGATTCCTTTGGTTTCAGAAGGCAAACAATAGGCTATACTATATTTTTAATTGATATTATACATAGACTATAATATACTTTTCAAATCTCATAGTTTTTCATTGTTAAACTTCTTTTTAAAGTGCCTTTACATCTGATGCTTGGTGATTGAATTTGGAGCTAAGCATGTAATTGAACTCATTTAAGATCTTCATAGTTTAATTAAATCCATTTAAAAAAAAAACTGGTGACATAAATATATGTCCTAATTGGGTACTAATTATGAAGATAAATTAAGACCTATTTATATCACTCTACTGTCATTTTTTAAAAAAAGATTCCTAGACCCTTTAAAAAACTTCTCCAAAGGCATGTTAAAATTTCTGCTTGTTTCTTGAGTGTTATGCTAGGTACGTGTTAGTATACTTTCAACCCCTGACTTACGAAGTTAAAACAATGAGATAATGAGGTTCACAAAAAACATGAGCTGTTTGTTTGTGAGTCCTAGGTGCTCGATGATAAACGTTTCCTTGTACTTCCCTGGGGCGGCCGTAAAGAGGGGGCGTATTTCATTGTTTGGAGAAGACCACACCTACTTGCAGGCTAAAGTAGTTGTCACACTTAAAGCGCATGTTGTGGAAGCTGACGCTGCCGTGACCAAGCCAATGGCTTGCAAGTGACAGGGACAGGAGGTCGTTCTCAGTGCTGAGGCCTGCACAGTGCAGCAAGGAACCGGGCTACGTGCTGAAACCCAGGAACGTGCTCTGCTCTGCACTAGACGTGGTTGCTCATTAATTTTCTTTAGTTAAATGTTGCTTTCTACAATACAGTGTGAATGTTGGTATATAACATTTAAAAGGAAATCATAGTGGAGTCGATGTGGAAAGCAAAGTCTCTTCCAATGACTAGCTATCTCTCTCTCTAATGTGTGCAAAATCCTTAAGCCCCGTAAATGTCAAAATACTTCTTTCCATGCCTAAGTCAAGCCAGTATCATTTGTCTTTCTTGTTCTGTTCATTGTAAGTAAGGCTGATGGAAAATTAAACCAAAGACAAGTTCAGAATAAAAGCAGTATCAGATAATACAAGTTTCAAGTTCACTCAATTTAGTTCTAATGAGGCGGAAGCAGCACAGTATGGCGCCTGCTTTTACCAGCGGGACCTGATGGTAAATTGTTCATACCTTGAAGGCAGCCGCGGTGAGAGTATTGATACCTCACGTATCAGCAAACATGACTAAATAGGGCTTGGTTTTAGTTTGTTTTTCCCCCCCTGGAGAACTAGTTTACTAGAACATCATGGACTACACGTGTTTTGAGGTATTGTCGTATGTTTTACCCGCTCCCCCACACACACACATAGAGTCTAGAGGAACCCTGGAACTTAATGTTTGGGGTTCACACCCTGGCTCTGTCACTTAGCTGTGTGCCCTTGAGCAATTAACTTCCCCCTTGGTGCCTCAGTTTTCTCTTCTGTAAAATCGGAATGATGACAGTACCTCCCTTAAGGGGTTGTGGTGGGAGGCTTGTCTCAAGTTCAAACTCTTGGGCAGAGAAAGGACTCAGAGATGCTGGCTAACACTGCCGCCTAGACTGCAGCCAGAGATCAGACTCCTGAGCTGAAAGGTCATATTTACACACAGGCAACGAGGATCAGGCTAGTGCCAGACCCTTCATTTACAAAACACGGGATGCTGGGAAACACGCCACCAACCTTCGATTTTCTTTTTCTTTTTTTCCAGGAAAAAATAAAATGATCAAAATTTTTAAATGATCAAGCAAGAGTAAGGGCTAACATAAAATCTGTACACCTATGTAGATTCAGAAATTTTACCTCCCATGCACTCTGTCTTAAGAAGTTTACTTCAGGATGTACGCCCGCAAAGTGAGCATGATGTTTGGGAAGGGGATGTGGGTCCTGGGAAGCAACAGCTTCCGAGTCAGGGATTCAGGAGGTACAGGCTGTTGGTTGCACGGCAGGCCCGGCCCGCTGGCTGCATTTGAAGAAGAAAAAAAAAATTGAAATGAGAGTAAAGCTGATTAGAAAAGGTACAATGAAAAGCAACAGAGGAGGAAAGGAGGGATGGAAGAAAAAGCGAGGGGGAGAGAGAAGCAAGGGAAAAGAAGGGAGGGAGGGAGGGGAGAAGAACATTAAGAGAAACAAACTTCAGGATAAAAAATCCCTAGGGATATCAGGATCCACAGGCAGTGTTCCTTGGCCCTGCAGATGGGGGCGGGGGGAGAAGAAACCATACACGTACAGACACAAAGCAAAAGGAGGGTCACCCATGCAGCGTCCTTCCATCCCCAGAGGGCCAGCAGCTGCCGGCCACACAACGGAAGGTTGTGTCTGCTGCGAGCAGCTTAGTCTTGTGCTCTGCAGAAGCCCTTCTGCAGTCAGGATGTGGATTACCATGTCGTAAGAAACGTCACAGCCTCAAGTAGGGTAAAAAGCAGCCAATGCCCCCGTGTCTTACAGCTCTCTCCGCGCCCCACCCTAACTGCACCCCGACGTGATCGCACAGAATGGTGCATGCGCCGCCACTGACTCTCCACTCCTGCATCATCATTTCGAATCGTCATTCAGACTTTAGTTCTTCCACACAGACCACACGCCTTGAATGGACTGTGGGCATAGCTAAAAAAGCTAGCACGGGAGTGGAAATCGTCTCAACTATTGGAATCAAACACAAAATGCAATATGGTCAAAAACTAGACGGCAAGTGTACACTTCCATCCATGTGGAAGAGTAAAATTTAAATACAGATAACAGAGGATGAGAGAAGGGAAGGGGAAGGGAGGTCACATAAAGGATAGGTAGATGAACATCCTCACCTCGCAAGGTAGAAAATGAGGACCCTGGTATCCGCATATCCACGAGACCCTCAGCCAACTCCAGTGCACGTTAGAACTTGAGCAGCTCTGAGCTAGATGATGCCCAGGTCCCTCCCAGATGCGCCAGCCTGGTGAAGAGGAAAGAACAGGGCAGCAGAATTTGATCGCCCCAAATGGGAGTTCCTCTTCTGCTCCACACTGTCTGTGCGCCGCTGGAGAAGTGACTCACCTCCTCGAGCCTTTTTCATATCTGTCCAGTGACAGATGGGCATCCTTGCTGCTGCGGCCATTGTAAGTTACGGGTCCCCCACGTCCGCGCCTGGCGCGCATCAAGAACCACACGTGCGCGAATTCCTCCCCTTGCCTGGCCTCTCCTGCAGAGCCAGTACTCCAATTCCGCGGGTCTCGTTTCCTGCCCAGACCCCGCTTCCTACTGCTGAGGCCCCCAACTCAGGTTATTAAGAAAATAAACACAAAGTCTCAAATCTTGCAAAAGTGACATCATATTCTAAAAGCGAGTCGTTATCGGGTGGCAGAGAATAGAATTAATGCAGCCTTGATACGCAGCGTCCCTTAGAAATAAATAAACTAGCTTATTCCTCTACAAGTGTGTCACTTCAGTGAGAGACAATCAAGCTAACGTTTCTGTTATATAAATGGGCAAGAAGCGCGTATCCCTGGCGTGTTCTCTCAAAACAGGCCAACTGTCATCCCCATTACCTATTAAGTGTTTTTAGTTTTTCCAAGTAACCTTGAAGGAATTTGTTTATTCTAAAGAGTTGTTAGGGGAGAGAAATGCCTCCCAAGATATCTTTTTTAATGCTGTTCCATTGTAGTTTGAGGTGATGTGTTTTGTCTTTTACTGAATATGTTATTATTCAACAATACTCATCTTCACACTCTTCATTTTGAATTCAGCCACTTCGTGACTTCTCCGTCAATCTTTCATGAAGGGGGTCTCAGGTGGGCCTTCTTTAACTGGTTAAGGATTATCAACAGAGAACACGGTCAACACCCCAGACGGCATTTCTTTTAAGAAATCACGGCACAAAACTTTTCCTGAGATGAGACGTCTAAGATGAAGATAAAAACAAACCGTGCTCCCGTGCCCATAAATGCTATTTGAACCTGACCTGTCAAAACAAGAAAGGCTTTCAAGGGCTCCATTAGCAGTCCTATTCTAGAACAGCTTTGTTTTCTAAAACAGAGTTGTTTGTGTTCTGATTCTAACAAAATGGCTTTAAAGATGGAAGGGGTGTGGGGATCTTTGCTAATAGAATATTCTTGTCGCTATTGTTTCATGAAGAGTAGAAGCTATCAAATGCAAAAGTCTCCGAAGGGTTTTCCTCTGTTGTCTTGCAAATCGAGGTCATAATTTC